GCGGCCCGGCGTCACCCACCGACACCACCACGCCGCTCCCCGCGTATGCCCTGTCGCACTGCGCTTGTGTGGGCCCGTGCCGGCCGCTGGCCCCGCAGGTGGTGAACAGCCAAGGCCCCTCGGTGCCTGGGAGCAGGGAGGGAGGAAAGGGTCGGCGAGGCCCGGGCCAGGCCTGGGAGTCTAGGCCTGGTGAGCAAAAGGGAGGAGCCTGGAGCTCACCTAGAGGATTTGGAGAGCTGGTCCGCCGGGAGGTAACTTTTGAGTCCCAGCGGCTGGGAACTGGCAGCAGAGGGGGCGAGGGTGTAAGAAAAAGCACCTGGGTCCCCGAGCTGGAGCAGAGAATGATGCCTGAAAGGTGGTAGACAGAGGGATTGGGAGAGGGAGTGGGATGCTAAACGTTGGGAGGGCAGATAAGAGACCAAAACCCCTCAAGTGAGCTAGGCGTGGTGCATGCCTGTAATCCTAGCACTCTGGGAGGCTGAGGCAGGAGGACTGCAAATTCGAGTCCGGACTGGGAAATTTAGTGGCTTAGCGAGACTGTCTCAAAAAAAGGGGGGGGCGGGGGTTGTGATTCTGGGTTCAATCCCCAGTATCACAAAAACAAAACAACCCCACCACCACCAACTGCCAACCCTTGCTACTTGCAGCCTCACCCAAGGCCCCACAGCCAGTGTCCGCTACCACGCAAAGCAGTCACGGAAGCCTCCCGTTATATATCCGGCCAAGGTTTTCCTCTTTTCCACTCCCCATGTAGGGCGGTGGCCCCAGGGCTTGTCCCTCGGATTGGGGCACAGCCGGCAGCTTTGCGATTTACACCCACAAACAGAACAGAGAACTTGGGCGTGAAGGTCCAAGGCTCTGGGAGACACCACAGCGACCTCTGCGCTACCGCCATCCCTGTGCCTAAGCAGCTTCTGGGGCTGGCAGGTTCCCGACCGGCCGACACCCCACACTCACCCGCAACCTCGAGCCACAGCAACAGCCTACCCATGAGGCCCATCACCCCTTCGGCAGCGCCTGGCGGAGAGTGCCTAGAAGTCTGCGAGACGCCCCGGGGGACCCGAAGGCAGCTGGCCACGCCCACTCACTCTACTCGGGTGAGCTAGGAAGGGGCGGGGCGTGAGGCAGTGAGGGCCCCCACCCGGGGCTCTGTGACTCCAGTCCTCGGATATAGCTCGGGTGGGATCTGGGCTAGGGGAGGAGGTTCCCACCCTACTCCTCTAAGGCAGCGTGGCGGGAAGTAGCCGGCTGCACCTCTGGTACTGGGCAGTTTTCTGGGGCCAGGAGATGGGTGTGTGCCTCCTGTGGTGGCGGGGGTGGCATGGGGAGTACTATTTAGTCTTTTCAGGGCCGTTGATTGCAGGCAGAGCCTCCTGGACACCCTGAGAAGCATGAATTTCTGAGTTCACGCTATCCTGTTAAAGCTCTGAACAATTTTGATGTGGCAGAGGCAGTCTGAGTATTAGTGCTGGCACGCCTGGTCATGGCTGATGGCTGAGGCAGGGTGCAAGGTCCAACAGACCTCTCCACTCTGAGATGGTAACCCCATCACCTGCGAGATTCCTGGGAGGGAAACTGCACCCAGGCAACTGGAAGGGCTAGTTTCCGACTTTGTATATTGGGTCCTCAGGCTTTTACTAAAAATGCCCTACCCACAAACACACACTGGGAAGTGAACTGCAGAGTCTTTGCGTAAAACACAGTTCTCAAATTGTAGTTGGTCTTGGGTAGCAACACCAACATCACTTGGGACTCTACAAGTTTGAACCACATTCCAGATACATCGACTCAAGCCAGGCATGTAATCCCAGCACTCAGGAGGGTGAGGCAGGAGGATGGCCATGAGTTGAAGGCCAGACTGAATGGTCTCAAAACACAAAAACTAAAACAAAACAGACGAACTGACTCTGAAACTCTGGTGGTAGTGCCCACCAATGTTTTAATAAGTTTACAGGTGATTTTTGTCATGTAAGCTTGAGGACTCTTACAAATGAAGATATACTAATTGCTTAATAAAATCTATTGGCCAGTTCTGCATTCAGCAGAAGAGCACGCTCTCCTTATTAACAGGGCCAAGCCTGGCATGGTGCACTCACTCTGCAGATACACAATGGTAATTCCACATGGCAAACAACAGACAGTATAAGCCCAAGTGCCAGAATTCACACAAGAGAACGATCCAGAAAGTCTACCAGAATAAAGAGATGAAGCAGTCAATGTTCTGATTTACTCCTTCCAGCCATGGTCCTGCACTGGGACGGTGGTATAGGACTGCTACACACCAGGCTGATGTCTGACTTCACATCTCCAGGTGCAGGCAGTGGAAACAGGGCCATAGATGCTGCCTGATGAAGGATGTCTATGCTTGGAGAGAGTTTTTCTGCAAGTACCCCATTCCCAAATTCATAGCCCTGGCCTGGCTCTACTCAAGAACTAGGACCCCCATTCTTGCTGTGGACTAAGCTTTCACCTTCCACTGATTCCTGCACCACCTCTCCTCCTTGGGACAAGCTACCCTCTCTAGACCAGCTCTGAACAAATGTGACAAATATCAGTTCAGCTGCGCATGGTGGTGACTTGTAATCCCAGCACTTGGAAGGCTGAGGCAAGGAGGACTGCATGAGTTCGAGACCAGCCTGAACTACGTATCAAGACCTTGGGCTGGGGATTTAGCTCAGTGGTGCCACACCTGCCATTAAGTTTGATCCCTGGTACTGCAAAAGTAAATAAATAAAAATAAAAAAGACATCTCAAAAAACCGAACCAAACCAAAAATAAGCAAAATCACTCTAAATCAGTTGGGAGACTAAACAAAGAATTTCTTGGGAACAAGGGGAAAAAACGAGAGCCAAGACCTGGCATGTAAGGGTACAAGATCCCAGTAATGAATGTATCTGGTAGCTGTACTGTCTACCTAGAATGTACCAATAAATTAAATTAAAAAAAAAAAAAAAAATTTCTTTTAGCATTGCATTTGGATACCCTGGCCCAGGGTGGGGATTGGGATAGGTGAGAAGTGTAGATCTTTATTCCTAGCAGACACCCTGAGTCCTCAGATCCTGAGCTCCTGAGCTCCAGGTATTAGGATGGAAAGGCTCATTTTGTTCCACAAAAGCTCAAACAGTATGTTTTTTTTTAAAAAAAATTTTATACTAGGAATCAAACTCAGGACCTTACACTTTGCCAGGCAGGCGCGGCGCCAATGAGCTACATCCCTGGCCCCAAATAGTGTGCTCTTGGCCGGGCGAGTCTTTTGCTCCTCTGTGCTTGCTCGCCCCAACGATATGATGTCCTCTGGCAAGGCTGGGGAATGAGTTTATCCCTCCATCTTTGATCCCTGACACTCTAGGTCTCTAACACTACATCCTGGAGCACCCCTGAGGCCAGTGTCTGGAGGTACTGCTGCCGCAGCGGGGGCAACTGGGAATTAAAAAAAAAAAAGAATTTCTTTTAGCATTGCATTTGGATACCCTGGCCCAGGGTGGGGATTGGGATAGGTGAGAAGTGTAGATCTTTATTCCTAGCAGACACCCTGAGTCCTCAGATCCTGAGCTCCTGAGCTCCAGGTATTAGGATGGAAAGGCTCATTTTGTTCCACAAAAGCTCAAACAGTATGTTTTTTTTTAAAAAAAATTTTATACTAGGAATCAAACTCAGGACCTTACACTTTGCCAGGCAGGCGCGGCGCCAATGAGCTACATCCCTGGCCCCAAATAGTGTGCTCTTGGCCGGGCGAGTCTTTTGCTCCTCTGTGCTTGCTCGCCCCAACGATATGATGTCCTCTGGCAAGGCTGGGGAATGAGTTTATCCCTCCATCTTTGATCCCTGACACTCTAGGTCTCTAACACTACATCCTGGAGCACCCCTGAGGCCAGTGTCTGGAGGTACTGCTGCCGCAGCGGGGGCAACTGGGAGTACAGCTCAAAGCCCTCTGGCAGGCTAGAGCTGGGAAGCTTGTAGTGGAGGAGATGCTGCCGGAGACCCTGCAGAGATGGAAGAAAGGTTATGAAATGGGGAGCGAGACTATGCTCCCTGCCCCAAGCCCTTTCATATCCCACCTTCCTAGGCCCCTGCCTACCTCATCCGCCAGCAGCCATGTTTTCTGCAGCATGCTCCTTCGGGCAGCTTTCACCTCATCCTACAAACACAAGGGAAAGGTGGCACTAAATCCAGGACTGGCACCAACCACCACTGGCCTTGCCTGACCCTCGCCTCCTCCCCAAATGGCTCCAAAGCAGCTCAGTTGCTAGGAATGAAACTTACTGAGCTCTTTGGGTCCTGGGAGAAAATGAAGCTATTGACATGAGCCACAGCCACAGCATAGAGCACAGGGCACCAATGTGGGCGGAGTGCACCAGTGACCAGTGCCCTGAAGTAGAGCAGAAGCAGGGCCAGGCTGTCTTCAGGAGGTCTTGTGTAGCACTCGAGGGGCACAGGCAGCTGTGACAGAAATGACACATGAAGTGAAGGGCAGGGAGGGAGCATGCATCATTGCACAAGGCAGACAGTGGATGGTCACAAGAGGGCAGAGACCAGGCCTAGCCATGCAGTGACATCCACCCTTTAGCACATGGATGAAGGCTAGCAGACCAGAGAGCTCTTGAGAATTGTTATTGCTTAGTACTTCTTGTTTAATAAACTTACAAATTTTTTTCAGTGCTAGGGGTCAAATCCAGGCTTTGTGCATGGTAGACAACCACTGTTATCACTGAGCCATATCCCAACTTGTTTTTTACACTAAGTTGCCCAGGCTGGCCTTGAACTTATAATCTTCCTGCCTCAGCCTCCTGAGTAGCTCGGGTTATAGGAGTGTACTACAATGCAATGTGTTATTTATTGATGTATTTATGGTTTTTTGGAGACAAGATCTTGTTATATTGCCAAGGTTGGGCTGGAATTTGCAATCCACCTGCCTCAGCCTCCCAAGTGCTGAGATCACAAGCATGTGTCCCTGTGGCCAGGTACAATATAATGTTCTTTTATTTCCTAAATGTATTTTTTCTTTTTAGTTCTCTTTTAATAAGACATATTTATACAATGTGTATATTAAAATAGTCCTTTTAAAATCACCAAAATAAATTGTAAGTAAAAAAACCAAGTCTTAAGAAAAGAAAAGTAGAGGGCCAGGGATGTAGCTCAGTGGCACCATGCTTGCCTGGCAAGTGCAAAGTTCTGAGTTTGATCCCTGGTACCAAGAAAAAAAAAAACCAGTAGTGTCTTTATGATTTGTAATTCTCTTCCCTCTCCCACTCCCCCTCTCTCTCTCTGTCTCTCAATACTGGCAACTGAACCAGGTCCTCCACACTAAGCTACATACTCCATACCCAGCCCTTTTTTTATTTTTGAGGCAAGATCTTGCTATGCTGCTAAATCATCAAGGCTTGAGCTTGCAATCTTTTTTTTTCCTTTGGTGCTAGGGACTGAATTGAGGGTCTTCACAGTGAACTACATCTCCAGCCCTTTTTTACATCTTGAGACAAGCTTTTGTTAAATTGCCCAAGCTGGGCTTAAATTCACATCTTCCTGCCTCTGCTGTCCAGTGCTAGGATTAAAGGCACGCACTACCACCCAGCTGAGAAAATCTTTTCTGATCTATATTGTAGCACCTAACAGGCAAGAAACCAGGCCTGGTTAATAATAAAAAGAAGTAAAGAGGGTTGGGAATGTAGTCTTGTGTGAAGGCCCTGGATTTAATCCCCTGTACTACAAATAAGAAAAAGAAAAAAAGAATACCTACTATATGCCATTTAAACCCTTTTCATGGATTCTAACCCCCTCAAGTCCCCCAAAAGGTAAGGTAAGGAACGAGGCCCAGCAAAGCTCCCCACCCTTGGGTGCCCCCTGGAGGGTGCCATGGCAGGCCCCACTGGGCTGAGGTACCTTGGTCAGAGGCAGCCCCAGAGCACGCAAGGCTCCCATGTGCTCCCCGAAGAGGGCGAGGCGCAGGGTGACACTGAACTGACGCTGCAGGGGAAAGAGGACCAGAGCCGCAAAGAGGTGGTCCCCAAAAGAGACAGCCTCGAAATGCTCTAGGAAGCTGGCATAGAGGTCAGGGAAAGACGCAAGACCAGGAAGCGGGCAGTCCAGGCGTAGGCTCAGCAGGACTTGGGGCCGACAGAGCTGGGCTAGGAGAGCCACTACCAGATGCTGGATGGGGGTCTCTCGGAACAGTTCGCTGTCCACCAGGAACACACACATGAGCCGTGCCAGGCGGGCAGCAGGAGGTACAGCCAGGAGGGCCTCGGGGCGCCAGCTCTCCAGAACAAGCACCCACTGCAGGACCCGCATGGCTGTCCCCACAGTATTGGTGGGAGCGAGCCCTGAAGGGGCATCAGAAGCCCAGTGGTAGAGATGAATCAATGGCTGAAAGGGCCAATCAGTGGGCAGCAGAGGCTCCTGAGGTGCAGGCAGCAGCAGGGTTGGGACTTGCTGTAGGTCCCCTCGGTACAAGGCCTGGGAAGCCAGCAGGCTGGCCTGGGCCAGTGAACAGTGGGTCAGGTAACAGTTGCGGATGCTGGGAAGGTCGTGGCAGGCCTGAGCGAGGAGAGCCCCTCGCCCACACGCAGGATCCCTGCTGCTCCCTAAAGACAGCCGATCGGAGAAGTCAGCTGCCTCTGGACCTCCTGATGTGCTCTCTCTGTGACAGAACCCAAAAGTCAAAGACAAGGGCTAGAACCCCAGCACCCAGAAGGCTAAGCCAGTTCTGAGGGCTCCCAGCTTCCCAGAGCCTTTGTGTTTTCCCTCACTAGTGGAGGTCAAACCCAGAGCTGCATGCATGTTAAGAGTTATAGGCCCAGGTTCCCCAGAGGCTTCTAAATTCAGTCCTGTTTCTCTCTGTCACCTGATGACCTCCCAAGCAGAGCTGTGAGTGGTTAAGATAATGGACAGGGAGCCCACACCACAGGTGCAATGCACATAACTTCTCTGTGCTTGTTCCTAGTTTAATTTTTCTTTTTTTTTGGTACCAGGGATTGAACTCAGGTCCTTGGGCTTCCAAGGCAGGCCACCAAATCACTGAGCTAGATCCCCAGCCCTATGTGCTTGTTCCTTCACAGTAAACGGAGGACAGTGACAGTCCCTTTAGCCATATGGCACACCCCAGGGGTCACCAGACACAGAACACATACTCAGTAACTAATGATGCCTCTATGTAGTTTATACACTACTTTTCACCTATAGATTTGCACTAAAGTTTCATGATCATTCTCTGGTGTGTGAACCTCATCTTCACTTTACTAAGGAGGACACAGGAGCTCAGACAGGTTACATGTAAGTCAGGAAAAGAAAGGGAAACCTAGGTCCGCTGCCTTCAAATCAGGCTACTCTGCCAACCATAGCAGCACTCTAAGGGCTGGGGTGAGGCCCCAAACCTGCACTCACGGGAGGAACTCCAGCCGGAACACACAGCTCCGCAGCAGCTCCTGGGCAAGGTGCTCACTCCCAGGCAGCAAACGGCTCAGCAGGGCCAAGGCCACAGCGTGATAGAGGGCAGCACCAGTGGCCGGTACTGGATGGAATGTTGCCTGTGGAGAGGAAGGAGAGGTAAGGTGTTATCAGTGCAGGGAGGACAGGGTGCAGGGAAGAACGCAAAGAGGGAGAAGCCAACAAAGGCAGGGGTAGACCCAGGGTATGTCTGGAACACAGAGGAGCTGCCAGGCGTGGCAGAGAAGTAGGAGGGCTAATAGGGAGGGAAGGACCTGCAGACAGGGAACCCACCACTTTCTGAGCCAGGGAGAGTGCCAGGTATTGCAGGTGGTGCTCGTGGCGCAGGGCCCACGCGGAGAAGGGTGTGAGGTGTGGGGCAGGGCCAGGAGCCACACACTGGCGGAAATAGTTCTCGAGTCCTGGGGCAACCAGTACAGCAGCCAGCTGAGGGAAAGCAAGTTTGTTCAGATCCAGGAACTGACTGATGCTTTCTGGGGTTCCCAGGTGGCTGCCCCACCAGACAGTCCGACAAATGAGTGCTGACAGCAAGGTCTCCCCACCTTCTTTCTGACCCCTGCCACCCTTTCCCAGACTGGTCACTACTTGGCACCCAGAGCTTACCTGGCCACAGAGCCCCTTGTGGATCTGAGCCAGGGTGTTCAAGACACAGAGGAGGGCAGTGAGAAACGGGAAGGGTGAGGCTGAGCCAGCCAGGCTGAGTTGGGGGCAGCCACCTGCACAGCCCAGTGACACAAGGCTGGGGAGAGCTTCGGGGGCCGGAGCACAGAACAGTGGGTTGCAGAGAGGAGAGCAGAGCCTGCAGGCAGAATGCAGAAGCTGAGGGACTCTGACCTGGGATGCACCGGGCTGGAAAAGGCCTGGGCATGGCTGTGTAGCCCACTGACTGCTCTCCATGAAGGACTCAGGCTTCCCCAGACCTCTGGAGGCAGCACTCTTGGAAAGGCCAGGGAAATGGACCCAGGAGTCCTCCCCTGCCTCCCCCAGCTATACATACCCAGAACCTACCTAAGGGAATCCCACAAGCTTCCCAGAGATTTTTGGCACAGCAGTGGCTGCAGCAGATCCTCCAACAGGCGCTCCATGTCCTGAAGCTCATCCTCAGGGCATAAGCTTACCTGAGGATCCAGGGAACCACTGAGCTGAGGGATGGCCCGGGCATCTGTGCTCCTGCCCGTGTTCCCAGGCCACCCTCGCACCCCAAGAGCCCAGCGATCAGTTTGGATGGTTCTGCAGTCTGACTTTTGTGAGGGCCAAATGGCCCGTGCAGCACCCAGTGTCTAGACATGGATGAAGACAGCATGAAGGCTACAGGAGAGCTGAGCTTCTTGAGCATCTCTGTCCCCATCAATATGGCTTCCTGAAAACTCCACTGTGATGTGGAGGTGGGAGCCAGAGGTCAATGAGTAAAGGTGAAGGAGGGTGGGGCTCAGGATAGCCTGGTGGTACAGCACTTGCCTAGCATGCACGAGGCCCTGGCTTTCACCCACAGAAACAGCAACAAAGAGGTGGAGGATAAGGAAAGGTACGGACAAGGAGGCAGGAGTGGAGGTAGCCATGGAGAGGGCAGGGGGTTGGGACGCACAGGGCAGGCACAGAGCTGGAGAGGCATGTAGGCGGTACTCACCTGCTGACTCCAGGCCTGGTAGTAGGCACTCAGGAACAGCAGGCAGGCAGTAGGCACTGGGCCCAGGTTACGCCACCTCTCAGGTCTGGGCAGCAACTTCAAGGTCTGTCTCAAACATGGCTCCACTAGAGGCTGGAGTCCAGATACCTGCGTCCAAGTGACTGAGGAAGGGGTGGTCGGCAGGGCCTCAGCAGATTCTCTGCAGGAGTAACAAGGGCAAGTGAGGAGATGGCTGTCTTACTCCCGCCAGGCCCAGTCACCTCTCCCTGGGGAGGGGCACATTCCCACATGTCCTGGCAATGCCAGCAGTCCTGCTGGCAGGTCAGGACTCAGCCTACCTGTGGGACTCAGCAGGGCTGCTACCAGCTGCCAGGGTCAGCTGGGTGAGGAGAGTGAGCAGTGCAGCCACCCGCTGCATGGATAAGGCCCGTGGTGAGTGGACGCTGAGCTCTGCAGGCATGGCCTGCAAGGCCTTCATGAGCACTGGGTACAGCTCCCTATGGAAGATCAGCGACTTTTCATAGCAGCCAGGGAGATGCAGACCCAGGGAACAGACCCAGCCCTGACCAGGGACCCGCAGTTTGGAGAAGGAGGATGAGGACAGAGAAGACCCCAAGGCTGGGCACTCTTAGAGGGCTGGACCTGAAAATTGGGAAGAATGTGGCCCTTGGAGGCTGCCTGCAACAGGGAACTTCTTTGTGGTATCATCAAGATGACAGTGCTTTTGTGCACTGATGCCTCTTCCCCAGCAGGCCCTGACCCGCACTGCTCTCATCCCCAATGGCACCCCCACTTCCACAGGGGCTGAGATGTCAGGTCTCTCGTCACCTGTAAAGATCACCGCCCTGTCCATAGGAGGCGGCCACGGCCCACAGACGCAGGGCCTCCGTGCTCAGTATCTCTGCTTCCTCTGGGGGCAAGGACAGTTCTTGGGGAGCCTCAGCTATGAAGCGGCACAGGCGGCTTCTGAGATCAAAGCTGCTCAGCTGGGGAGGGGGAGAGTTGGGGTTAAGGGTCAGACCAGATGGAGTCACAACAATCATCAGGTTCTTTCACTACGGAAACTGGCTCAACTTGGCCTGTTCCAAGCCTTGGTGGTGCCACAGGGTCACAGCTCTAAGGAGGGTCAAACTCTCCCTCTCTTTTAATGACCTACTTTGGCCGGTGCTGAGAATCAAACCAAGAGCTGCCCTCTTCAGCAGGCACTTGTCCTAGACTATTTGGCCATGGCTGATGAGTGCCCCTGTGTATGTGTTTCTTCTGATCTGGTCCAGGGCAGGATACACCAGGCTGCAGGGGACCTACTTCCTGTCTGGTGGTTTCTATTGTACGTCTAAAAGACAATCAGACTTGTGCCAGGTGTGGTGGCACACACCAGTGATCCCAGCACTTAGGAGACTGAGGCAGGAGGATCACCTCAAGTTCAAGGCCAGCATAGGATACAGAGCAAGACGCTGTTGCAAATAAATAAATAACCAACTAACCAACCAACCAATCAACCAGACCAAAGAAGAAGAGCTGGCCACCCAGAGCTCAGGGGCCCTGCCTAGCTTCCAACCCAGCCTTGTCTTGTGATCACACCCCTTCTATATCCTACTCACCAGCCGGGCAGCAATATTCCTACCAGCCGAAGCCAGAACTCGAAGTAGCTTCATGGCAGCAGCACAGGGTACTTTGTGTAGACTGGGGGTAGGTCTCATTGCCACAGGAGACCAACTGGTGGGAAGGAACTCTCGAACTATGGTTTCTATGAGCCGTGGGCATTCCAGTACCTGTGGGGGAACAGGAGAAACAGAGGAGGTAGGAAGGCAGAGAGAAAGGCTGGGCTCTGGTGTACTCTGTGCTCATACCCTTGTTCACTCTTTCTCACCCTTGTGGCTGACTCCAGGGAATGTCGGGACAGGCGGATGAGCACAGCCAGTATGTCAAGGACTACAGCAGGCCCCGGGCAGGTCACCTCTAGTACATAGCGCAGCCGAGGCAGCAGTTTGGTAGCCAGGAGCCCCTGGGGGTTGAGAGAAAAACCCACTGCCAAATGCAGATGAGCTCTGATGACCCTTCCTGCCCAAAACGCTTGCTCACTGAGTCTGGGATGGGAAAGAACCCTTCCCTCTACCTTGATGACATCATGTCGTGCAAGGTCAGGGGGAGGACGCCTTCTTTCCTCAGGGCTCTTCTTCGCTCTGTCTGCTGGAGGCTCTTCTTCATCCTCATCTTCCTTGTCCTTCCAGCTGGGCATCAGAGGAAAGACCAATGCTCCGTGGTACCAAGAGAAGGTGCTGTCCAGGAGCTCCTGAGGGAAGACGGAGGTAGGAAAGGAAGGGGCAGGAAGTGAGTCCAGAGGTAGAGTAGAAGCCTTTAGAAAAGGACAAAAAGGCAAGGTTTCCCAGTGTTGGGCCTTTAGAAGGTGAGTTTGCCATCCCATACTCCACTCTGCCCACAAAGCTGTGGCATGGGGCACGCCCAGCATGAGAAGCAGGGTCCCATCCCTGTGGTACCTCATCTCTAGGTGCCACCAGTAGAACCCGTAGAGCCTGGATAGCAGCTGCAATGACCCCATCTACTCTGTCATCCAAAGAGAAGCGCAGCAGGAAGAGGAAACCAGCATCCAAAAGGAGGCGTAACACACTGTCCGGTAGGCGATCCTCAAACTCGCCAGCCTGGGCCTTAGGGTAGGAGGATAAAACCTTGCTGAAAATGTTGAAGTCACATAAAATCTTAGCCATCCCATGATCCTGTGCTTGCCTCATTCCCAGCCTGACCCACAGACAACTTGTATATGGATTTGTGCCAGGTGGAAAGGGAAGGAGGTAGGAAAATCTAAGGTTGAGAGGTCAGGGTGTGGTATGGGGCTGGACAGGCCAGGACAGAAGTCTACTTACTCTGCCAATGACCAGGGATAACACATGCAGTGCTAACACTCGCTGTTGAGACACTTGGCTTCGGGTCAGGTGGAACAGCTCCTGTAAGGAGTAGCCTGCTCTCTGGAGCAGGAACAGGAAGTCAAAAGGAGGCAAGATGCAGGGCAGTGACCCAGAAATATCCAGCAAGATGCTAGGGAAAGACAAGATAAGTAAATACATTCCTTGTCCCTTGTCCCTGTTTTCCATGAGGCCTGAAAATATGACATGTATACATGTACCTGGCATAAGGCAGATGGGGGAAGGTAGCAATTGATTTTTAATTTGCAACTGGAGGACAGGAAGGATGTGGACCTGGAAAAATGATCTGGTCTCATGGACAGGCAGTTCCAGGGAAGCAAAGGTATAGGGTTTCCCTGGACTGAGCCCTGAGGGGGTCCCTGAGCACAGGGGAAGGGAGATGCCAACAGAGTGAGTGGTCCAGCAGGAGGGAAGGAGGCAGGGCTGGAAGGGTGGCAATGTCTGCCTGTGGAAGCATGTCTTGCTTCCTCGAGCAACTGGAAGCTAGGAAACTTGCTGAGGTGAGGTGTGGCCTGAGCCGGGCCAGGGAGAATCAGTGTGGCAGCCAAGGAAGGATGCAATGCCCTGAGAAAAAGCAAGGAGGGCCTGGTAACTCAGCAGACACCAGGGGATAAGACTATGGTCCAGGAGCACTGGGGAGGTGACAGAGTGGACTGGCAAATTTTAGGACTGACCAGAATGTGAGTAGCAGAAGTGAAAAATTCTGAGCCTAAGAAACTGAATAGGTAGCAAGGCCATGACCTGGAACAGGGCACACAGACCACAGTCGGCCAGGGTGCTTTTCCACATGGCTGGTAGAAGCTCCTCCCAAGAGTTGCCCAGTACTCCCAGCCCCAGGTCTCACCTCTGCCTCTTCTCCATGGTGGTGCAGGCCCAAGTGGGTAGGAAGGTCCACATCCGGGGCCAGGAGCTCTCCCTGAAGACTGAATCGGGCCTGCATTTTCTAATGGAACGAGAAAGACTGGCCTGGGGATCCATCTTCATACCTGATGCTTACCTTTAACCAAGCCTCTCAGGACTTAGGTCCTGACTCTGTCTGTGGAAATGGACTTCTTTGACAGTAGGGGCCAGGCAGGGTTTGGAAGAAGAGAGTGAGAGCAGAGCAGTGGTGTTTCTCAGACTCAGGGAACAATAGGGCCTAGGTGCTAGGTGCAAGAGCAGCAGTGCCACTCCTACCCTACAGGCCAGCAGGCTGTGCTCACCTCCTGTGTCCGCCGCCGGCGGACTGGGGGCAGGTCCTGGGTCCAGTGCAGCTTCTCCAGCTCAATAGTGTCCATGTGCAGCCATTCTTTGTGGGGAGCCACGGGCAGTTTCAGAGCTAGGGGGATGGAAGCACGATGGGCTTCCCTGAGGGACCCAGACAGCAGACAGAAGCTGCCACAGCCCCCTGAGCTCCTGGACCCAGGAGATTCTACCCTTCGTGGGGTAAGAGAGGCTTGGGAACAGGAACTCCTGAGAACAGGGTGAAGATCTTAGCTATGGTAGACCCAGCCATTCCTGGCTCTAAGCCCTCTGCTAACTGCAAGGATTTGCTGGGAAAGAAAAAAAGGATGAGAAGAGAGAGGAAAAGAAGACCAGGAAGAAGAGAAGACTACATATATAAGGAAAGCACAGCTCCCTACTCTCGGGAGCAACCCCTTGCAGGAACAGGGTAGAGGGGACAATGGGGGCACTGAATTGCTGTAGGGACCAGGACACACAAACACCTCCCCATAGCATTCTCCTGCTTCCTTGCTCCTACCCCCAGCCAACTGCCTGGCTGGCTCTGGATGCCTCCGGAGCAGGAGGCTCCTGGCTGTTGTAATTTAATTTCTTCCTTTGTTAATCCTAATGAAATAATCTAGTTTCTGGAAAATGAGTATTTCCACTGGCCTCTGCTTGAAATCTGGCATATTCATAGACCTTCACCAGCCTCTTCCTCTCCTATGCCCTGGCCCTGGCAGCTCCCAACATGGAAAAGAGGCAGAAGGAACAGAGGAGTGGAGAGGGCGACATTTGGGCAACTGAAGCAGGGGTGGGAGAGGGTCAGCTTGGAGAGCGAGCTTCAGCCATCATCCCATGATGCCTCTCACCAACAAGGGGAAGGAGCAGCAACAGGACAAGCAAATAGGAAGCAGGTGCAGGAAGACGTGCGTAGCATATGCAGACCAATTTGAGGCACTAATGAGGATTAACAGTCCATGTCCTAGGGCAGAGAAGGTTCTTTCTTCTCCACCCTCAAGGGCTAAGAAAAGGAACATTTTTCTCTTTTATCCACAAAAACATGGTCCTTGTCCTCCAAACCTGGGGCTCCTGGCTCCAGCTCATTGTCCTGCCTGGGCTCTCTGGCAGATGCTGACATGACAGGCTCCTCTTGGGTCACAGGGACTGAGGGTCCTCCTGGCCTCTGCTCCTCAAGGACCTTCTCTCCGGCCTGCTCCCAGGTGTGGCTGTGAGATCGCAAGAAGGCAACCATGCTGGGGTCTAGAGGACAGGGGAGCGTACAGTGAGGGAGGGCCAACCTCTAGGCTTCCTATGGCCTGGTGCCTGCTAGCAGCCTGCCTCTGGGTGCCAGGACTGGACAAGCTGCTTCCCAGCCCTGGCCTGACCCTGGGCCCTCCTGTTGCCTTCTTATGTTGCGGGATCCCTGAGGTCTGACCACCCTCCTTTCCTCTGCCCCAGGTTCCTGTGCTCGGCACCAGGTCATACATAGGTCAAAAATAAGTGGCTGTGTGGTAACTGAATGAATGTTAACTAAAGCCAAAGAAATGACATTTAAAGAAACGATTTAACCTTATCTTCTCTCAGCTAATTTATACATGTTTACAAAAATCTAGTATGTATTATACAGGTATAAGATACATAGCAGGGAACAAGATTGACCACGTGCCTAGAAACTAGAAATTAGGAGAGTTGACAGAAACCAGGAGGGAAGTGTGGCACACTGTTGTGTCAAGTAGCAGAACATACTGTAGTTACACTCAGGCCAGCGGTGGAGAACCTATGGCACACGTGCCATAGTGCACGTGCAGAAACCTCTGTCAGCAGCTGAGCATCAGCTGTTCTCTTCTAAACTAAACCCTCAGTATGCAGGTTTAATTGCAGTGTTTACACTTTGCAATAAATAAGTGGGTTTTGGGTTGCAGCTTAGGCACTTTTTCTCTAAAAGTTTTCCCCTTACTGCACTATACTATGATATAATAAAATGCGTGTGCTACATCAGATAGGAGAGGAATACACAGCACAATGGTTAAGAGTAGCTGGGCATGGTGGTTCATCGCTATAATCCCAACTACTCAAGGCTGAGGCAGGAGTTCAAGGCCAGCCTGGGATATACAGCAAGTTTAAGACCAGTTTGGATTACCTAGTAAGACCCTGTCTCAAACTACCCCCCACCTCAAAAAACAAACAAAAAACCCCAAAACAGAAACAGGCAGGGCCCAAGACACCAGACACAAATCTGGGTTGAAACCTATTTATGTTTAAATCTGGCCTATAGAACTGGGGTTATAACTCACTGGTAAAGTGCTTTCCTAGCATGTGTAAGGCCCAGGATTTGATCCCTAGCATTACAAAAAATGAATGAAGTAAATCTAGTCTGTACTCCTTACCAGCTACATGGCTGGGGGAGGTGTGTCTTAAAGTTTTGAACTGCGGGTTTTTTCATGAGTCAAATGAAGTTATTTCTCTCTCCCTCACAAGAGTGGTTTCAGGACAAAATGGGAGACTGTATGAAATCCCTGTGTGGTGCAGGGCACTCAAGTGAGCCTTCCCACTATGCAACAGTCTCACCCAACCCAGCCTACAGGAAAGCCAAATGCCTCACCAAGCTGGGCCAACAACCGCTGCTGCTCCTGCAGGATCTCCTCGGGAGCCATGGCTTGTAGTCTTGCTACATTCTCTTCATGGATGGTCTGGGCTTCCTGCTCAGCCTCATGGCCACTGAGCCCCTTTCCGGTGACCAGATGGGGCCCCTGGAAGCTGTGGCTGCTCCCCAGAGGCTGAGCGACCCGGTCCCTAGGTGCAGGTGCCTCACAGGTCATAGTACCTGGAAGAAGTGTATGATCAGTCTCCCCAGTCTGCTTTCCTGGCTGGGATGGACTCTGAGGCCTCCTCTAGGAGCCTATTAGCCCTGGAGACAGGAGGCAAGGCACCTCAGGTTGGGAGCAGCTGCTCTATTCGTTCTTCCTCTAAGAGTTCCAGGAAAAGCTTTCCCTCAGAAGCATCCCAACTTCTGACCCTCCTGTAGGATATCTAGGCATGCACTTCCACTAGTAATTGGCAGCATTCATGGAAATCTGGCCTATGTGTTTAGTTTCTGTCAGACACTTCTGCCTCCATCTTTTTCTTTTCAAGTTGCCTATGTCTGCCCCTCCCTGTACCTGAGACCCACAGTACTCAAGGGTGGAACAGGAACATGGGATGACTTTCTCTTGAGATGATAGTTCAAATTCACCTCCCTTTTGAGGTGGGAAAGATGTGTATCCACGGCAGACCCTATGACGGAGTCCTCACCCTCTGGTGGGTCCGGGTGGGGCATGGCTCCCACAGTGGATGGGGCCCTGCTTTCAGATCCCCTCCTGGCCGCAATCTCCTGGGCAAAAAGGCTTCTCTTACCAGATGCTGCTGGCTTTCCCTATGGGGCAAAAAGAAAACCCAATGATCATGCTCATTCTCCACTCCACCTCAGCTCCCTTTACCCTGGTCTCTGGAACACAGAGACAGAAGAGGCTCTGTTCAATCCACAGGGGCCACATCCCTAGTCCAAAGAAGCAGGGCTCCATAGAAACTCGGGGCTTGAAACCTAACCAGCTTGGGTTACAATTCCAGCTCTTTCATGTGTGAGATGTGTGGTGTGGAACAAGTTATTTATCTCTTTGGGGTACTTGTGTGCTTATCTGAAAAAATGGGGATAATGGTATCTACCTTACACAGGGTCATGAGGACTAGTGAGCCAGTGTGTATGACGAGCTTAGTATGATGCTGCTTTAGAAATGGAGTTAGCAGCTGGGTGTGGTGGCACATGCCTGTAATCCCAGCACTCCCAGGGCTGGGGCAGGAGGATTGCTGTGAGTTTGAGGCCAGCTTGCATTACTGTACATAGTAAATTCAGGGTCAGCTTAAATTAAATTTTGAGAACTTGTCTCAAAAAAATAAAAAGAGAGAGGGAGAAAAAAACTTAAAAATAAAAATGGAGTTGCTTATCATTAATAAAACTATCTTGGGCCGCGGATTTAGCTCAGTGGTTCTGTCATCTGCTTCATAAGCACAAAGTCCCAAATTGGATCCCTGATACAAAAAAAAAAAAAAAAAAAAAAAAAATCCCTATCTGGATGAGACTATGACTTTCCCCTAAGCACTGTTTAAGGTCACCCCAGCGAACCTGTCTCTCTCTCGAGCAACGGAACACAGCAGGGAAAGCTACGCCACTGGGCACAGGCAGCTTCACGGCCACTGACCCTGTATCTCGTTCCTGTGGCAACAAAGCACAGAGGAGTGAAGATGAAGACTTCTCCAGCCAGGAGCCCATGCCTGGACCATTTCCCATCCTGAGAACCTCAATGCAGGGAGTCACAAACACACCATGTATGAAGTCACAAGGCTTCTAATAAAGCCTAACGCGACAGGAAAGTCGGCCTTTACCCTCCTCCCCAATATCCTGGCTGCCCCCAATGTCTCGCCCCATGCAGCCAGGGTGAGACGCACAATAATCTTGGTCAAGACAGCAGTGATGTGCTGGTCATGTCTGCTCAACCTCTCCTCAGCATCCTCATCTGCAGACAGAGCTTGGCCAGGGCTGGGCCTCGCTCGCTTTGGGGGAGCAGGAACCAAAGCTGGGGGCAAATCTGGGAGATCTGAAAGAAACCACAGATGTGAGAATGTACATGCCTCCCCAGAAAGACTCTGTTATGAGTTGTATCTAGATGTTTCCCTAAAGCCTCATGTAGTCATAGGCGGAGATTTTAGAGGTGGCTGAATCTAGAGTGCGTGATGCTGGGATTGATTCATGGTTTAATGCTAGGATTAAGGGTGCCCCACCTGGGTATGAGTGCTACCTGCCCGAGTAGACTAGAAAGAATATAAGGAACAGAAAGAGGGCTGCTATGGTCACTCCTTGAGTGACCACTGCTGCTTTTGCTGGCTTCTGCCTGCCATAAGCTGTTTCTCCTTTGCCATGCCAACCTGCCTTGGAGCCAGCCAACTATGTACTGCAACCTCTACAAACTGTGAGCTATAATAAACTTTCCCTACTTTGAGTGTTGAATATTTTTTTCTCAGCAATGGGAAAAGTAATTAAAAGAGACACTGAAGGCTTGAGCGTGGGGGCAAAGGGAAAAAGGCAGCTGCTGTGGGGCCCTGGCTCGAGCTGAAACACCATGGATAAAATATTTAGATTTTGGGGGGAGTCCCATACTGGGATTGAACTCAGGACCTTGCGCTTACCAGGCATGCGCAGTGCCACTGAGCTAAATCCCCAGCCCATATGTAACTTTTCCGAGCCTTAGTTTCTCTATTTAAAAATGGGACTACAGCAATATTGTCTGAAGACAGGGCAGAACCTGACCACCTCAGCATGAGGGAGGGGCCATGAGACTGCTCCATTCTCCTCTCCACCCTAATGAGGGCACTCACCGTCCAGCATTACCATATCCCGATCATCCTGCTGCAGAGGCCGATCTGGGTTAGTGGAGCCACCTCTCCTGATGCCTTTCTTCACCAGCTGCACTGCTGGGGGAGCACCAGTGGCGAGAAACTGACTCTGGAAGCGCAGCAGGTCCACCTCAGACTCTCCTGGCTTTGGTCGGGACAGCATCTTGACACTCTGAACTTCCCCGGTGGGATTCCTTCAGGCACTGCTTCCCTGAGGAGACTTCCTCTCATTCAACCCTAAGAGCAGTAAAGACAGTGGCCCCTCTGCTACTGAGCCCTGATTCTCTTTATCACGTATCAGGGGGATCCTCTTTTTTGTCAGTCCACATGGACTCATTCCTTCTACATTCCTTCCCTCTTCAGCCTTCCCTGCGCCAAGAGCCTAGCAAAACCATCTACAGCCAACTCAGATCATTTATAATCTCAGAAACACCCAACAGGTAAAGAAAATGTCATCAGGGGCCAGGGTAAATGTGTCAGAACAAAGAGCGGTGATTTTATATCAAATTGGAGAGAACACGGACTGAAGGTATTCAGATTAAAAACCAGGGGCTGCAGATCAATACATAAAATCATTTGTATGTCTACATATTAACTAAGAACAACCAAGAAGTGGAATTAAGAAAACAATGTCATTAGCCAGATGTGTTGGTGCATGACCATAATCCCAGCTACTTAAGAGGGATGAGGCAAAAGGGTCAAAAGTTTAACACCAGCCTGGGCAACTTTGCAAATCCCTGTCTCAAAGTAAAATTTAAAGAAGGTTTGGGGCGTGGCAGAACACAATTCTAGCATGCATCAGGCCCTGGGTTTAATCATCAAGACAAGGAAAAAACAAAGCAAAACTAAATAGGCATGAGCTGTAATCCTAGCACCCAGGAGGGTAAGGCAGGAGGACTGACGCAAGTTTAAGGTCAGCCGGGGCCACATAGTGAGTTCAAGGCCAGCCTGAACTATATAGCAAGACCTTGTTTCAAAATACATACATACATTGAAAAAAAAGAAAAATTTCATTTACAATAGCATCAAAAAGGATAAAATGTCAGAGTAAATTTAACAAAGAATTACAAGATTTTCCCACTCAAAACTGTACAACTGGGACAGGGATTTGGTTCAGTGGTTCTGCTGCCTGCCTTGCAAGGGCAAGGGCCTGAGTTCAAGCCCTAGTATCACCCCCACCAAAAAAGATAAAAAAACTGTACAACTGCTGGGTATGGTGGTATATGCCTCTAATCCCAGCACTCAAGAAGCTAAGAGAGGAGAATGTACAAGGCCAGCCTGGGCTACAACGTGAGACCTATGTCAAGCCCCACCCTCAAAAAAAAAAAAACAAAAAAACAAAACAAAACTAAAAAGGGTCGGGAATTTAGCTCAGCAGTATGACCGCTTGTCTTGCAAGCACAAGGTCCTGAGTTTGATCACCAATATCAAAAACAACAACTATAAAACAGCTGCAGCTGGTGGTGCACTTTGGCAACCCCAGCACTCAGTAGGCTGAGGTAGGAGGATTGTCTGGAAGAGTTTGAGGCCAGCCTGGGCTACATGGTGAAACTCTGTCTCAAAAACAGAAACAAAAACTATAAAACACTGTTGAATCACAAAAGAACTAAGCAAACAGAAAGACATTCTATGCTCATGATATAGAAAACAATACTTTAAGGTGGGAACAGATTCCAAATCTGCAAATTCAATGGCATTCCAATAGCTCATTTTTACAAAAATTAATAAATTGAAGCTGGACATAGTGAAACACATCTACAATCACTGCTACTACTTGGGAGACTAAGGCAAGACAATCAGATGATCAGAAGTTCAAAGATAGCTTGGTCAATTTAGTAAGATCCTGTCTCAAAATAAAACTGTTAAAAAAGGGCTGAGATTTAGGTCAGTAGCACCATGACTGCCTTGCAAGCACAAGGTTCTGAGTTCAACCCCTGATACTAGGAAGGGGGGCGGATTACAAAAAAGGACCAGGGGGCTGGGGATTTAGCTCAGTGGTGCCACTGCCTGTCTCACAAGCACAAGGACCCAAGTTCAAGCCCTGAAACCAAACAAACAAACAAAAATAAATAAATCAATAAATAAAGGGCCGGGGATAGCCAGGTGTGGTGACAGAAGCCTGCGATCCTGGCCATCTGGGAGGATAAGACAGGAGAATCACAAGTTTGAGCTCCATGGGGGCAACTCAGTAACTTTTTTTTGGTCTTAAAAAAAAAAAAATCTTGTCTCAAAACAAAAAACAATAAAAGGGCTGGGGAACGTATCTCACTGCAAAGACCCTGGGTTCAACCTCCAGTAACACACACATGGCAAGCTGATTTTTTTTTTTTTTTTTTTTTTTTTTTTTT